ACAAGAGACCACTTAAAATCTTCTAACTGCCTAAGATGCTAATGCTGACGTCAGATGACCCTGATTGACCCCAGGTCCTCTTATCACGCTGCACATAATCAGCATGGAAGCACTTTATCCAGTCACCTGCTGCCTTCTCAAGGTCTTACTGAGAGCTATGGAGCTGCATTAATGTAGAAAAATGAAATCCAGGGATTCTGAGGAGATGGAAAATTTCTGACTCTTGGGAGCTACACAGAGCCCCAGGGCTGGGTATTTTGAGGCCACAATCATCCTCACATCTCAAGGTCTTCTCAAGCCTCCAGTGACCCAAACAGACCCAAGAGAAGAGGGAGAAAGACTGAATCGACACATTCCTCCAGCTCCAAGGACATCCGTCAAGCACTGGATTGAGAGCCCCAGAAGGTGTCTGGGTATCTTTGGTGGTCGCTGTTGAATGTCACGGATGGAGTCAGAGCAAAGAATCCCACCCTGGGGAATGAAAATGGTCCCCACCGTGACCAATTCAAATCCTCTGAAAGTGGGCTGTGACTGGGAAGTGCCTCCCAAGGACTTTGCCTTCAAAGCTTAAGGTGGTGGCTTTGGGTTATATGTGGCCCTCATATTAAGACACTTTCAACATGTATTTTTTCAGTGACTTTTTCTTCTTTGTAATTAGAGGTGAGGAGGAGGATTTCGTTCCCATTGTGGCATAGCTGTCTTGCATGCCATCCGCAAGGTTTTCTTGTACCTCCTGCCAATACAAACTCCGTCTGTTTTGACTTATTTTTTTTTTTTTTGACTGCCCAGCGATGGCCTCTTGCTTGCTCAGAGCATCTAGGGGCAACCGTTAGCACCCAGACACACCCCAGGAAAGAAAGGGTTGTGGAAAAGTGGTTTCTAGCTGGGTTCAGAACTCTTCTCAGATTCAGCAATCCTCAGCAGAGAGATTTTTTTTTTTCCCCCACAAGTTCCCAAAAGCTCACAGGAGATTTTACTTTGTTTTTTACAATTACCAAGGAAAAGCAAAATAAATCAACCTGAGTGAAAGCAGAAACCCCGTTTCCTGACACACGCACACAAACACACAGAGAAGTGACCGCGCACTTTCTGGCAGCCACGACGTGTCTAGTACAGAGCTGTTAACGACAGAGAGCTGGTGGAACGGGCCTGGTGGACATTTTCCTTCACTCTGCTCAGTTCCTCAGGCCTGTTCCTCATTGAATAAACTTTCTCATGAATTAAGGTCTTGAAATTAAATATATAGATCCCAATGGGCGGCTTTCAGATTCACTAGTCGGAGTGTTACACAACTACTGGTTTTCAACAAACCCCATCGAGGCCGCTCAACACCAACCCTATATTGTTATTATGGTCCAGCCCGTAAACAGTGGGGTACGCCCTGGACGCCTTAACTTGTAACTCAATTCCCCCAATGGCTTTTAATGATTATTGCTCATAGTCCAGGGACAATGTGGGAAGGGGACTCGTGAAAAACCCTCCAAAGTCCTCCTTAAGAAATCTATTATTGTAAACATTCATGGCGCATGTGTTTAAAGTTTGAAGATTTCCTAACTTTCCAGCCATGAATTCTTCCTCCAAATCAGACCTGAAAAGTCACTTCCCATGGAAAAGATAATTTTACAAAAAATATGTCATTGGAGAATTTCTAACAGATCAACCATGTGCTGATGACACTAAGATATTGAGTAACAGCTGAGTTAGGGTGCAGAAGTGACGCTCGGAAGAATACGGCTGGGTGGGGTGAGAGGATACCCCAAGATGAGCAAATCATCTCACTTTAGTCCCAGGCCTGGAAGGAGACTGGAACAGCAGAGGGCACAGTCTGTCCCTCCAATCAGCTCTGGCATGGACAAAGTGGGCCACTTGAATGGGTCACTGTTTCTGAGGTGTGTAGTTCCCATGGACCACCTTGAACCTGCCTTCCAGATGGGGAACGAGCCAGAAGGAGGGACACAGAAAGAGAAGCCCCCGCTTAAGGTGTTCTGGACGGTGTAGAGAATGAGGTGGCTTGCTCTGGACACACTTGTTACATAGTCAAAACGCATTCGGCAGGTGGAACACACCAAGAACCAAGTCTCAACATTTCCATTTGTGGAAACTTCACCTTTGAGCACTGTTTTCTAAGCCATATCTCTTCCTCTGAGATCATGGGCATTTGGGCAGAGAAGGAGGCAGAGAATGGCTGCCTGGATGGAACTACAGAGAACACTAAGAATACTATCGTGGATCCATGATGGTATCCAAGTATTCAAATGGACCAGCTGGGAAAGATGACGGCTCAGAATGGGATCACCCATTTTAAGTTGAAAATGGATGCTGTGACTCGCTAGATTTATTGTAAGTTGAGCTTACGTGCAGAAGACTAGGTTCTCAAATTTTCTGACTTTAATGAGTCAAATATTCCTTTGAAAATAGAATCCACTCCAGTCACACGTTGCCCTGTAGCCCTGCCCATGTCCTTCATCAGCAGCTGCTGAAGGTGTCCAGAAACTGCTTCTGCCTACCTCAGATCAGATCCTGACACCAGTTCTAGGGACTGAGTTCAACATCATTCAGTCAGAACCAGAGGTCCCCGGAAGGTGCTCAGAGGACGCCCAGGGCAGAGGGCTGCACCAGTTCAGGGCTGTGGGGGGAGGAGTGTATAATGACGTGCCTGCCCGCCCTGCGGTCGCTGGCCTTGTTCACTTTCCTGTCCTTGTCCCTGGAACTGATTAGCAGGACATGAGTAATTTACCCATTAGACCACCTCAGAAGCAGGTGGGGTGGAAAAGCAACAGAGACAAATAAAAGTCTGCATTTCACTTTACGAAGGTGGCACTTAAGTAAAATGAGGGTTTTTTTGGGTGCTTTTTTTCCTTTTCCTTTTTTTTTTTTTTTTTTTAGCTCTCTTTGAAATGAAACCACAGAGGTCCAAACTGCAGCCTTTTTTTTTTATGTTGGCAAACACAAGGACTGTGGTTGCTTTTGTGTTCCCACCCCTACAATTGGGGGGGGGGGGAGGCTGTGTTTCTTCCTGAAACAAGACCCGCACTTCAGCCCCTCATTCCAGGCAGGATGCACTTTCTACTGGAGCATCATTCGGGGGACGGAAGAGCCCCTGGAGTGATCCAGTGTGTGCACAGGGCTCAGAGCTGAGACCTTTGCTGTGCTCCAACCCTAGGTGACAGACACCGCTTGGCTGCTCCCTTCAGCCACGCTCTGTCTGAGACCCACAGGCCCAGGGAGAATGGGCCAGGCTGGGGTCCCTGAGCACCGTCCAGGTCTGTGGGACCAAAACAGGAAGAGGCAGCCCGTGCTCCGTCACCAGGGGGTCCTGAGCAGCAGCCATGTGGGATGATCTATTACCCTCTTCTAACGGGCGTTCACACCTAATTTTGAGTAAAAATATGTGTTTTCGAATTTATAGCCAACTTTTCCCCAGCTTCCTTCATTGGCCAATGGTAGTTTTTTTGTGGGGGGATGATGAGCCATGTCACCCTGTGGGCTCTGGCCCCATCCCCTCCCCAGCGCCAGCTGTCACCTGCACCTTTAATAACATCAGGAGAGTCCAAGATGCTGGCATCTGCTCCCGAAGCCTAGGTTTAAGTGCTTTCTCAGAAATGTGGTTGACTGACTCCCTGGAACGTCATGTGGAAAATGCTCGACATTTCTATAGCAGCACATTTGCTCATTTAGGAAAAAATGACGAAGAGAAGATGAGGCCTCCATCCCTGAGCCAGTCCTTTGGAGCCTGCTGTCCTCGACCAGGGGCAGTTCTCCATCCTCCTTGTCCTCTTTCTGTCACTGCAGTTCTCTGCTGTCACGTTTCTAAAAGAGAGACACGCAGCCATGACCGGCAACTGGGTATTTGGCAGCTCCAGCCTTTGTTCCCCAGGGATACCTCAGTTCTGGGCTCTTAAATTGGCACACTTTGCTTTATTTTCCTTATAATAACTAAACTGCGTACGAGGAGGAGAACTGTTTTGCCGTTTAACTCGAGGCAGTTATGATTGTGTGCAACATAATCCGTTTAGTTCAGTGACTTAAAGAAGGGCTTAGAAAACAAATACCAAGTTTCTGGCAGGCAGAGAGCAGGAGCAGTGATTTCCGGAAGGCAAGGGGAACAGAATTCAGGGACTCTCTCTCCTGCATATGCACCTCTTGCTCCTCAGTGGAAATCACAAAGGCCTGACCTGAGGATTCTGAATTAATTGTTGCTTCTAAACTGCTCTTTAGAGAGAGGTCAATGTGTCTTTAGAAAAACAGATGAGCAGATAGGACCAGATGCAGTCAGAGAGCTGCAGGGGGGTGATATTTAAAGTGGGAATACAGAGCAGTATGAACTGTCTAATGGGGGTAGGTCCCGCCTTGTCCTGGGGGTCACCTTCACATGGTACCTCCTGTTCCCATGGATGGATATTTGGAATCCCATGGCAGAGAGCTCAGGAACAAGCCCACTAGAGCTGGAAATACCATTTTTTCTAAGTTGTTTCTTAGAAATCCAGCCACATGCTGCCCTGCTGTCTGTAAGCTTGTGCACAGATCTTAAGCTGCTAACACCAAACTTCCATGCATTCTATTCCTGGAGGGTTACCGCAGAGTTGGTGGGACTCTATCCCCTTCTACATCCTCAGTAGCCCCAACTAAGACTGGGCTTGAGGCGTAGCTCAATGGGAGAGCACTTGCAAGGCATGCACAAGGACTTGGGCTCCATCCCAGTACCAAAGAAGAAGGAAAGGCAGCCAGCCAGCTGAGATGGCATGCACAGACCTGGGCACTGGCCACTCTCTCCCATGCAGTGGTGCTGATTTATTAGCCCTCAGGGCCCAGCTTGGGTTTTCGAGAACTGAAGTGCTGCTAGGTTATCCCTAGACCTCAAGGATTAACTCAGAATGCTTTCATTTTCATTTAAACTGGGCTATAAATCATCTCAAATGAAAACCACTCAAATCCAGCTAGTTAGTGTTCTGCACTTCAGAACCCAGGGGCTGTCAGGGAAATCACTCTATGTAGTTCGCTGCCGATCAGATCACCCTTAGGCACCATTTATTTACATTATTTCCACATATGAAATACAAAGACCATCCCCACAGAGTCTCTCCCCATCACAGCTCTAGACACAGGCCGAGTCAGGATCTCATCTCCTGTAGCAGGTTCTTCAGGGACTAGTCCATCAAATCTGGTTCTTCTTGTGCTAAAGACCTGTGAACCAGAGAAACAATGACTGCTGCCCCCTCCCCAACCCCTGATCAACCAACGATGGTAATACCAGAATAGAAAGACTCCTATATACTCAGTGCAAAATTGAGAAAGAGAGAGTTGCAGCATTAGCATTGATTGGTCCTTAGCAGTCTGGAAATTCAACCAAGAATACGTCCCCAGTTCTCTAATGAAAGCAAAGTCCTACCCTCTAGGAGTGACTCCCAGGGAGCTCTGGACTCTTGTTTCTTGGTAGGAAATGTAACATTTTACAGCTGAGTAGCCTTCTCAGACTGTTTTCCCACTCTAAAAGCCTGGGGTCCAAAGGCCTCTTTTCCTTTTGCATTGTATTTGCCTTTTCAGTTCAAGCTGATACAATTCCTTTAAAAGTTCTGTGGGTTACATATGAATCCATTGATGGTCAATTCCATTAGACCAAAGTACTGTCTGTTTTTTAAGTCAGCTCTTTCTACACCTAGAGATCTTTTTAAAAAGTTTACAACCACATGAATGAGACCATCAGCCTGAGGCCAGGTGGTACCAAGATTTGATCTTTGTTCATTTCTTACTGTGATACTTATGGTGAAAGAGAATAGGAATGAGGAATACATTTGTTATTACAGCTAGAAAACCCTAGCTCCTTTATATTTTCTCTGAACTCTGCTTTGCACCATAATAGTTCCCTCTTGCATTCATCTCTTGTTGTAGCTTACAGCACCTAGAAGAAGTCGGTGGTAACTTCTATCTTCTGCCTGGAGTCTCCTGGAGTCTCCTCAACCACATCACCAGCTCATTGGGTGATAACATGACTAAAATTTCTCTCCATCCTTCAGTAACATTTTCCTTCCTTTTCTCCAAGTATTCATAATAGCCTTAAGGACAATCTTCTTGAGGTCCCCACCTTTTGCCCAGTGCTTCATCTCAAAGTCATAGCCATGTACAAGTTTTTTGGGGTTTTTTTTGTTGTTGTTATTATTGTTGTTATGACAGCAACCCACCTCCAATTCTGTTCCTGCACAACTTAGTGTTTAAAATCCCCAAACAACAATCATTTCTACTGTTTTGCATAATTTTATTGATGAAAAACACGGACAGAGCTCAACTATGTGATATGGGATTTTTTTCTTCCACTGGGGTCACCTGGTGATATTCTAATAGTGGATTGAGCTGTTCTAAAGGGGCCTAGGTGGCGTCATTTGCATACTTGATGTTTTGGTTGGGATGGCTAGAAGGCTAGGATCAACTGAGACTGTCAACCAGAGTTCCTACAAGTGCCCTCTCCAGCACGGCAGAGTGGCTGGGTACATCATATGGAAGCTCAAGACTTCCAGAGAGAATGTTCCTAGAGAGTGTAGAGGCTGCCATTTTCTTAAGGCTTGCATTTAGAAACTGGTATCACATCACTTCTGCCATCTCCCAAAAGACAAAGTAGCCACAGATTCAAGGGCAGGGACATAAATCACGCTTCTTTTTTGTTTTTTTGTTTTTTTGTTTTTTTTGCATTGTTTATTATCACACATCAGAAAATTTTTGGTAGAGGATTAAAGCATATTAAGAGCACCTGCTGAGCAAGAGGATCGTGAGTTCAAAGCCAGCCTCAGCTACAGCGAGGGGCTAAACAACTCAGTGAGACCCTGTCTCTAAATAAAATACAAAATAGGGCTGGGGATGTGGCTCAGTGTTGAGTGTCCCTGAGTTCAATCACTGAAGACCCCCCCACCCCTGAAAAAAAGAACACCTATGGACAAGATGGAAGTGTATGGTTCCTAATGCTATTTTTTCTGCTTTAAGTGGTAAAATCATTTTAAGTTTTATTTTCTCGCCACAGAAGAATAAGAAAACCATGGTAGAAATGGCTGACCCTGTGTGGTGGGTGGAGGTGGGGGATGACTGAGAGCAGTGTCCCCTTAGATCTTACTGAAGTGATGGGAATGTCCTATGTCTACATTAGGGTGGTCATGAAGGCCATGGTCCCTCTCGTTCAATAGTACCATGAAGATCTGGACATTTCATTGTATACATTATTTGAATATTATCTAAAATTAATTGATTCAAAACATTTCATTTTCTTAAAGAATTTCAATGACTGAGAGTCATTTGGGAGAGTGGAGGAGAAATTTTACAGACTATAAAACATACATTGATAGTATAATGTTCACTTCAAGAAGACAACAGAGGTGAATGAGTTTTCACCTGATTTACTGAAATTGTCACAGAATTAGTGGTTCCTAAAGAGACATATTTAGTATGTAACCGAAAAATGAAAATAAAAAAACTTTGGTATAATGAACGGCCCAAAGTGTAAACCACACTTGTTAATGAGAGAATGTATAGTCATCTCTAGTCTTCTACACTTCTACATCTTCCCTTCCTCCTTCCCTTGGACTTGAATGACAATGTGAAAACAAGAGTTGCAGCAGCCACCTTATACCACGAGGAGCTGTTGGGAAAAAAAAAAAGGCATTCACTTCAGATGAACAAGTGAGAAGCACTCTGAGTCTCAGAACCCAATATAATCCCTGAAATTTTAAAACATGGCAGAAAATAAACCTTTTTAAGTCACTACTATGCAGACCACTCCTGTCACTTAGAACCCAATACCTACCAGTAACTTTTGAGGGTTTAGTATTTCCTCTACACCTCCACAACCCATCCCACACCCCATAACCAGAATTCCCATCCCACACTGTCAACACAGGAGTAATAGACAGTCTCCTGTGGTCCTTCCATCATAAGAGCCTTGGACCCACACTCTGATCTCATCACCTCCGTCCGAACAAAGTTTCTTAGTCTTCAAAGCCCTCAAGCTTTGGCCCTGATGCACCTCCTAGCCTGATTCCTTCCTTCTCCTCTTCCACACCACTCACAGGTGGACCCACAGTCCTGCTGTGCCCTGTGCTATCCCCAGGGGTATTTATTCTTGCTTTCCCACCTCACCCCCTTCTCTCTCTCTCTCTCTCTCTCTCTCCCAAATTTTACCATGTTTTTAAAACAAATCTTGAATCTCATTTCTGCTATGAAGAATTTCCAGGATCACAAAATAAGGACTTTCTCCCTCTTTTGAACTTTCACTCCAACAATTATCCAAACCACTCATTGGACATCGCATTCCACTGTCCATGGAGGGACTTTGTTGTTTTTATTCCCGTGTGGTGCATACATCTTATTCTCCAACTAGGGAAGGAGCCGCCAAAGGGCAGGGGACTGGGTCACAGCTCTTGGGGTCTGTGTGTCAGGGCCAGCCTGTTCCCGAGAGGCCACACATCTGGCACCAGCACAGCCAACGGCTGGCCATTCTAGAAAGGGAAGAAGACCACAGTAGTCCACCAAGCCACCTCCTTCTGGCTCTTGTGCACCTCCATGGCACGGTCAGAACTCTGGTCCAAGTTCACCCTCCACTCAATAGACATCCGTGGGTGGGAGTCCACCCTCAGAGAATCACTGTTCCACCAAACACTTCCAAAGGACAGAAGCGCAGAGGGCCGATCAAAGCTCCCGAATAACTTCAGCTTCTACTTAACCTGTGGACTGACGCCAAAGGGTCACCAAGATGTCCTGGTTGCCTGGATTTTTTGTTCCCGCATCGGCATTTTGCCCAACAATTGGGAGCAAATACCAAAGAGAACAGGAACCTAGGAATGAGAATTTCTCACTTGCTTCTGGTCCCTGAGAGAAAACCACAATGTACCCTCTACCCAACTCCTGGTGAGACCCCCTGCAATCCCAGCCTGCAGAGGACCCTGCCTGGACATCCAGTGGCCCCGGGGATAAGAAAAGCAGCCAGAGAAGGCAAAGATTCTGACTGGAAACTTTGATCCAACTCAGCATTGCTTTTCATGAGTGCTGAAAGTCTGACGTTGAGCAGAAGTGACTCCCAGGGAGATCCCATTTAATGAGTTATTTGGCCAGGGTTATTTCTGAAATTAATTCTCCATCACTTCTCATTATTTTTAAATGGCAGTTATTAATCCACAAGGCTTGGGGAAGTGCTTGTGTTGGGGAATGTTCCCTCAGCGGCACCCAGGACCCATGCTGAGAGGCGGAAGGACCCTGACCAAGGCTGGCTGGAGTTTGGCAAGACACAAAGAAGGAGGCCCTGCCTGTGGTGAGCACCAGGTCCAGGTGGACATCCCCAGTGCCCGCTGGTCTTCCAGGAGCAGTACGCAGAAGCCAGGAGGGGAAGATTCTGGCCTCAGCTAACCTATGCCTGATATCAAACCCCAGACCCCCCCCCAGGAGGGCTCAGCCTTGGCCTTTGGTCTCACTCATAATTTAGGTTCCATTGAATCACATAAACCTGCAAAATCTGGCACCCCAAATGTATGTCTCACCTGTGCAGAGGCTTTCCTGGCTAGTCCTCTGCACAACCAGCCAAGAGAAGTTGCTCTGGAAGGAAGGATGGGTGCTACCGTGGGGACTCAGCCACCTGCCCTAGGCACCTGAGAAGGAGGCCGGGAGGGCCCTTGAGTGCTGCCCGCCTTCTGAGAACTCAGGGGAGACACTCGGGGAACTCTCTCTGGCCTGCAAACATTTAAGTTAGTGCAAGGAGAACAGACAGGCACAAATACACCTGGAAATCTGGCCAAACATCAGGGTGTCTGTCCCCAGACCTACCCCAGTGGTCCAGAGGAGAACCAGCTTTGACAGCCCTGTATCTGCCCTTGCTCACCTTAGTTGAGTTGCCTCCTCTTTCTAAGATGTTATTTTCTAAAAAATTTTTTTTTTGTAGTTGTAGATGGACAACATGCCTTTATTTTGTTTATTTTTATGTGGGGCTGAGGATTGAACCGAGTGTCTCACACATGCTAGGCAAGTGCTCTGCCACTGAGCTCCAGCCTCAACCCTCCACGATGTTCTTTGGGACATAGGGACATTTTTTTGATGAACTGTGGTTCTATTAGGAATCTGCATCTACCAAAGGCAATGTTATGATTTGGATCTAGAATGTTCCCCCTCAATGCAGGAATACTCAGAGGTAGAGATTTGGGGAAATGATTGAATTTTAAGGGCTCTGATTTCATCTATGGCTTAACCAACTGACAGGTTCACAATGGAAAGGACTATTGGGAGGTGGTGGAAACTGTAGGAGGGGAGGCATAGTTGGAGGAAGTAGGTCCCCGGGGGCATGCCTTGGAGGAGTATCTCTTATCCCTGATCCCTTCCTCACTGTCTCTCTCTGCATTCTGGTTCCCATGAGGTGGGAAATTTTATCTCATCACATGCTCTCTGCCTCACCACAAGCTGACATGATGGGGCAAAGCAACTATAGACTGAAATCTCTGAAACTGAGAGCAAAAATAAACCTTTCTTTCTTTAAGTTGATTTTCTCAGGTACTTTATCACAGTAACAGAGAGTTGACTAATACAGGTAGGACCTGAAGCTTGTTTCCCAGTTCTTATGGCCCCAACCCCCAGCACAATGCATAAGACATAGTAGACGCTCCTACAAATGTTGAGCTAAAGAGGATAGATGCTCCTAGCCCTGCCTTCCATGAGCCTCAGCATTGCATGCCACAGTGTTCTGGGTCATCAGCCCCACTCCTCACCTCATTCTGGGGCTGTCATCACAGAGAAGTACAGAAGCTGTCCTTGTGCGAGTGTCCTTTGCACCCTCACTCCTTACCAGCTGCTTTGTGGATTATAATTCTTCTCCCTTTTCCTAGAGATTTCACATCAACATTTCTGCAAACTCGTAGCTTCAGAGTCCTGAGAAAGATACTTCTTGCTGGTGACTCTTAAAAGGCTGAGAGTTATTAGACAAACTAGGATTGAATAAACACCAACATGAGTCACATGCTGCTGCCGCCATATTGCTGGGACCTTAAGAGATACAGAATTTTTGAGTCCCTAGTGACATAGGCGGAGTGCAGCTGGGACCTCCTGTTCCTTACTAGAAGAAGTCCTAAGTTTTGGCCTCTTTGGGGCTGACATGGCATGTTTCCTGAAAGAAGTCTTGATGCAAGTGAAATGTGGATAATGACCTTTAAAGGGGGTTTCCAACCAGAGTCTGGGACAGGGTAGGGCAAGGACATCTCTCAAAGCTGGGTAGCTCTCCAAGTGGTACCAGCAGGCAGAGAAGACAGGATAACAGATCAGAAAGCATAAACTGTCTCCTTGTCTTCCTGAAAATAGGCTCAGGAGGCCTTTCTCAGGGGCCTGAGGAGGCCATCCTTTGGAAGGTGCCTTCCTTTGACCCACCTCCAACATTCAGAGCAACACATGATATTCTAATAGGGGGCCTGGACTCACCTTGGCATAGACTGAAATAGCTCCAAGCCAGACCTTCTGGAATCTTAAACCTTTCAGAGAAATTTGGAGGCCCCTAGATAGATACTTCCTAGGGACGCGTCCTTGGAGTTTGTCACCAGGCCTCATTCCTTCTTCCTGCATTCTTCCCGGGTCACAGAGTTGGAGAGCATTTTAACTCAAGGCCTCGGGGCTAGTGCCCCCCTTTTTGTTGACTCTTGTTTGCTTGTTTGTTTGTTTTAATGTCAGGATAATGGTTGAAGAATTCTCCTTTAATTGATGATGTACTAATCACCTCACAATGATTTATACTTAAAAGAAGGGATACAAACACGCAAGGACGGAAGGAAAATGGATTTTGACATCGATATCAGGCCTGGGATTCAATTCTAGCTTCTTCTACCTGGCCATGGGACCTTGGACAGTCCTGTCAGAGCTCTGGTCCTGGTTTCCACGTCTACAAAATGAGGACTAGGCTGGGCCCATGCCTTAGGTCTCTTCAGGGCTCAAAGTCCAGTGACTCTTGAGACAAAGCTCTGGCTTCAACACCCCCTGCTGGTTGGCATGTGAACTGCTTGATCATCTTGCCAATGACAGCTGAGGTTCAACATCTTTGGGGTTCAACATAGCAGTTTATTCTCTCTAAAGGGTGCTCTGGGGAAAATGAAATCAGACATGAACAGGGTGTCCTGGAGAGTTACTGCTTTTAAATTGACTGTGGCTAGTCCACAACATCTGGAGCTGAGTCCAGCCTGAGGTGCTTCTGAGATCAGCACATGCAGAGTTAAATCTTCAGAGACTTCTGACAGACAAAATGCCAAGGGTGGACTCAGGGCTTGGAGAGCACAAATTAGGGTGTTCATGCTTAGCACACAGCTCTGGACCTCCATCCCTAAGAGTAAGCTGGCCATGTGGCACCAAGAGCTGAGCCTGGCACCAGCAACACTCAGCACCTCCATCACAGCGTGCTCTGGATGAGGGCATGGAACGTGGGAAGGCAGTGTCCACCCTCAGTCCCGCATCTCAACCCACCTCCCGGCAAATGGTCTTCATGGCTCTTGTTATCACCATTTCCAGCTCGACTCTCGGGTTTTATTTCTTAGAGATGGTGTTTATTGATGCTAAACATGCTCCAGCCGCTGTGCAGAACATCTGTGCCACAGCTGCTACGCTCAGGCTGAGATTTTTGTAATAGTTTTGGGATGATTCGCTAGCACAGTACATACAGTACTGGAAGGACCGTGTTCTGCTAGTCAGGAGAATTTAGGATAATTGGAAATTTCAGGGGTTTTAAGGATGTTGTTGGGTGTGGTTCCAGCAAGGAAGTTTTGCTTATTTGGAGGTATACAAGGATCAATTGGAAACATTTGTAAATGTCAGAAAGAACTTCACATAGATTTACCCTCCCACTGCCCCCACAGAATCAACCAAGAATTTTTCTACAGACGTATACTCTGTGGCATCTTAAATTGGGCACTGTAGGGGGCTTGCTCTTCTCCATCTCCGCCATCTGCCTCCCACCCCATCACATCTATGGCCCTGGAGAAGGCTCCAAGTGGAGGTATATGACAGCCACCTCTCCGGGACCATGAGACAAGGAGAACGTGATTCTACTTTCCACATTTCTTAACATTTCCACACATCTTCCCTTTTCCTCTATGGACACAGAATAAAATAAAACAACAACCCCTTTAGTTCCCTGCTAGAGAAACAAGCTCAGGGAGATTCAGTAATTTGCCCAAGGACACAGAGCAGACTGTTTGTCTTAATTCATCCGGGCTGCTGTTACAAAATGCCTTGGACTGAGTAATTTATAAACAACAAAAATGTATTACTCATAGTTCTAGAGGGAAGCAAATTTAAGACCAAGGCACCCGCAGATTCAATGACTGATGAGAGCTTGCTCTCTGCTTCAAAGATGTCTTCTTGTGTGTTCTCTTGAAGCAGAAGGGATAAGGCAGCTCCCCTCAGCCTTTTACATGGGTACTGATCCCATTTGAGGATGGATCCTTCATGACTAATCACTTTCCCAAAGGCCTCATCTTTTAATACTATCACATTGGGTATTAGTTTCCAAAATATGAATTTGGGAGGAACACCAACCTTCAGACTACAGTAGTGCTGGAATGTTCTAGAACTAAGTCTGCTGATAGCAACTAAATCACCAACGGGTAAGCCTTGCTTCTGTGCTAAACAGCAAAAAACACGGCCTTTTATGCTAAAGAATTTTTCAAAAGCTGCTTGGGGAAGAGGTTGTAATCTATCCTTCATTCGCTTATTAGCAAATCACACTAATTGTTATGCTTAAAATCCTGAATAGTTCAGATCCAGAATAATGCCTTCAGTGTGTAGCACCATGAGTTTTTTGTTTATTTGTTTTATATTTTTTTAGTTATAGTTGGATACAATACCTTTATTTTATTTATTTAATTTTATGTGTTTCTGAGGAGCAAACCCAGTGCCTCCTACATGCTAGGTGAGTGCTCTACCACTGAGCCACAACCCCAACCCAGCATCCTGAGTTTTTAAAGCACTTTCCTTGTTCGATTTTCTTATCAGCCTGGCTTAAGGGATGAGAGAAGCTAAGTCGAGGCCTATAAACTCTCAGCTCCCAACTCTTTATGTTCTGAAAAGTGCCCAGAACATCCCCCAGAATACTTAATCACCAAATCTTGGTGCTCAGAGCTCTTCCAGACCTTGCATGCCAAGCCTGCAGCATGTGTGATTGTGCCTACTGTGTGCCAACGCAGTGCTAGGAACACAATGGTAAACAAGTGAGAAAAATCCCCTGATCTTGAAAAGTGGCACTAAATACATATGTAAACATAAATACACATACATATGTAAACACAAGGAAAGAAGAAGAGGAGGAGGAGAAACAAAGGTGAGACCATGATAAGGACTGCACATAACCAGAATAAGATAAGATGCTACAGAAAAGTGATGGGGTGTGGGTGGGGCTTTAAAGAGGAATTTTCCAGAGAAGGCCCTGCTGACATTTGACCTGAAATGAAAACTGCCACTGGAAGATGAGGTGAGTGCCCTACACTGACATAAAAGCAGTAACAATGGGAGAAGCTTGGCTTGTTTGAGGATCTTGGGGTTGGAGCACCATAGCTAGGAGTGGCAGCATAATAAGGCAGGCAAAGCCTGGTGAACCAGAGTGTATCACTCCAAGTGCAAGGGCAACCCATTGGTGAGTGTGACGGACAGGGGGTGCACCACTTAGCTCTCCCCCAGGAGAGAACTTGCAGGGAACAGAGCAGTCAGCCAAAGGCCTCCAGCTCCAGTGTCACCAGGCTCCATTCATAGCATTCGACCTGAGGCCATACTCTATCAAGGCCAGACCCCTATGGAGTTACAAGAGCTGGGACCACACTATGGAGCTTCCTTCTGGGCTGGCCAGGCTTTCTCAGAGCTGCACTGTGAGCCAAACCTCCTCTCTCACGATCTTCTCTCCTTCAGCTGACCCTTCTCAGGGATCAGATCTGCATTCTGGTCTGACGTCTCTCCCTGCCTTCTCCTATTTCCTCTTCCTTTATCCTCCACAGGTTTCCCTTAACAAACCTCTTTCATTTCTAATTCCATCTTGCCTTCTACTTCCCAGAGAATCTGGCCTGATATAGCAGGTTTTTAAGCAGAGGAGAGAGATGTTCCAATTTGGAGGTTGCAGGATGAAGCAGATCAATCTTTCAGAAGCTGCTGCAGGAACCTGGTGAGAGGAAGGTGACTGCAGAAGGATGGGACGATGGCAAATTTTTGCTAAACATCACAGCAGATGGAGATATTTTATGGCAGCGGGGAAAATCCAGTGAGATGCAAACCTGGGGACAGATCTTCAAGACTTGGCCATGCTGTCTTTGAGGGGCCCATTAGACAATTGGATAAGGTCTTAAGTATCCTTTCACCCCAGAGGAAAGGCTGTCCTTCCAACATTACCATCTTATCTTTCAATCAGTATTAACAATGGTCTCTGCCCCTTCAAACTGGAAGGAAATGAGAACCCAACGAGCACCACATAGCTTTCTGCAGAAAAAAAAAAAAAAAGAAAGAAAGAAAGAAAGAAATAACTTTTTCTCCTCCTTCCGGTGCTATGGGTGCAGGAACTGAGGGCAGAATAGAAGCCCACTGGCTCCGGAAGCCAATGGATGCTTGCCGGCAGGAGGGGGAGAGCTTCAGCGCCATCCTCCTCCTCCCCGGAAGAAAGCTCCCTTGTTCCAGGCGCACAAAGGATGGGCACTAGGCAGGCGACAGGCCGTGAATGCTAATGGCCCTGGCGCTTGGAGGCCCCGGCTCCACGCCACCGGGAAGCCAGCCGGGCGCCGGGCGCTGGACCGGCTGTAGTCCCGCACCGCTATGCGCACGGCAGCCTTGCGCCCCCTTTCCAGGAACCAGATCCCCCAGCTGGGAGGCGCCGGCTCCCAGACCACCAACCCCAGGCCCGGCCCGCCAGTGCCCATCACGTGGGCGCGCCTGGAACCTGAGAGAGCATCTGTCGCAGGCAGCACAAACGTCTAAACATCCGTGCAAACTTGGACCAACAGGTCCTGCTGGAATGTGCTAACCATCTGCTTTCCCTTAGCCGTTTTTTTTTTTTTTGAGCAAATTATGTTTATTATGTTAATTTATTTTACTGTCAACAACACGGAATGACACAGTTGCTGCTAAACAACATCATTACATATCTCATTCTGGCATACTTCCAGCAAGGCTTCCCCCTCCCCCTTTTTTTGGTGAACTCAACAGGAATAAATACATATTGAAACGTTGATTCGTGCAACATTGAGCCCAGGAAGTGAAGCCATAGGTGGAGGAGCCCCTGGCTCCTCACTCACCCTTCCACAGAAGACTTTCTCTAGGATAGGGAGTGGCCATCTGGGTGAGACCCCAGACCTGTGTCTGTCCTGGTCCTAAGAGACAGTCCCATACTTGGCCAGGAACATGGGGGCTGCTCAAATGTCTGTGAGGTTGGGAAGGAGAGAGGATCTGAGGCATTTAATTTTCTTCTCAAAACTTCTCACTCCCTCAAAAAAAAAAAAAAAAAATCCTTCCATTTTCCAAAAGGTCCAGCCAAGGGGACCTGGAAGGGTACAGAACCGAGAGAAGATGTGCCTGCAACTCATTGGGAACCACCCTCAAATCAAAACAGAGAGAGGGAGAGAAGATGCTGCTGTCTACAATCTTCTTGCTCTCTGAGCTCCTGAACAAAAGCTCCAAGTAGCATCATACTGATGCAAATAGTTCATCAAATAGGTAATAAGCAACAAGAGGTCGATGCAGTTTCTTGGGAGGAAAACAAGAGTCTCAGACAGGGACCAGAGCCACCAAAAAGGGACAGGATTTCTTTCATTCAGCTCATAGGCCCAACTGAGATTTCTTTTGTGCACCCCAAATCAGGTGCCTGCCTGCAGAAGCAGGACAAGCCAGGGTGGGCTCCCCCACTTAATGGAAGGGAGCGTCGCTTTCTGACCCCACAGAAGCTAAGAAAAATCCCCACGTGGAGTTTTCACAGCACAAATAACTAAACTTCTTGATCAAGAGATTTGGTAGCCAGGTGGTTGCTGGGTGTCCTTGCAAATATTTAGTTTCAGAGAATGGATCATGTTACACAGTTTAATATTTGGAGACTGGAAGAGCTGCAGCCATAAGCCTTCATCCCCCACTTGTCTGCAGCCGCCACTAGACAGCCCATAAAAATGTGGGGCTCAGGTTCACACAGATGGCTGTTGGTTTTATGGGCTGGGGGAGAGGGGCGGAAGAAGATGGTCATGGTGAGGCTGCCTAAAAGTCACAGTGAAATAGGTCGCAGCTGCTCAGGGGCACAGCAACCATCAAGGTCCACCTAGGTCCTAGAGGCCCAATAAGAACCGGACATTCTCTGAGGGCTCCCTCCCCATCTCTAATATGTAGGCACTACTCGGTTCTTACCCAGACTCCTAGACTTACCAGACTCCTATTCCCCTGGAATGAACAAGCCCCTGTCCTTGAAAGATGACCTAGGTCTGGCTCCTGCCCCCCACTGGATCTCTTTGTTCTCTCCCTTCTCTAGGAGCCCACTTGCCCTTGGGAAAAGATAATGAGCTGGTTCACCCTAAAATAGGTGCCTGGATTATATCTCTTCATGAGCCCTTTTCTTCTAATTGGGAGCCAAACCTTAAATCAAAGAAACGGATCTGTAATTGTGGAATGTTTAGTAGAGGACATGAAAGGAGAGCCACTGATCCCCCCCCCTGTGTTTCAGCGCAATCCAGGAACAGAAAGAAAAAGGGGGGCGCCTGAGCCACCCTAAAGCCAGGCGGGGCACTCTGAACTTTAAAAACAGCCTCCTTCTGCTCACTCGCCCACTCGGATTGTCCAGGACCCTGAAAAAGGAATATGATCAAGTGTTAGGGGAGGGATGCTGGCCACAGGGTGGTGCTATTGCCCAGGGCGGACTAGTTGCCCTCAGAGCTGGGGGTGGAGAAAGAAATAGCTCCCAACCAGCCTGGGGAGAGACGGAGGTAAATAGTGCGCTGGCTTTATGGGGTGCTTCTAGCTGTGGCAGCCCGAGGGCACTGATTAAAAGACACATCGCGAATTCTTCCGCATCGTTCTCAACCTCTGTTAGGGAGCTCTGCAGTTCTCTGATGTTTTCTGGGGAGACTGGTTAAAACTGGATTAAGAAGAAACTTTTATAGTGTGGTCCTTGGAACTGGACCAGTGGCGACATTGGCTATTTTCAGGTTTTAAACAGTGATCATAATGGGGCTAACTGGGCAGTGAGTGCTGTCTTTCTCTGGGAGGATGTAAAGTAAACCCCCAAAGCGGCCTGGTTCTTGGCTTAATCTGGTTTGGTATCTCAGCCTCTGTCCTCTGCGTTCCTTTGGAAATCGTTCCCGTCCCAGAAGGGAAGCGGCCGGCAGCTGCGCGCGCCCCGCCCCCCCTTGGCTCACTCTTTTGCTCTGGGGGAAAAAAAAAAAAGCAAAATATCTGTCGGGCGCTGGGTTTGCTTCACAGAAAGTGATTACCACGTGTCAGAAATAAACTGCTGCTTTCCTTGTAATCACAGCTCACTTTGGAGAACAGTGACTTTAGATCAAAAAGGAAAACTATTTCAAAACCAAATGCTGCAAGCTAGTCTTCTTTCTCTCCCTCCCTCCCTCCCTCCCTCCCACCCTCTCTTCTCTTTTTGGATTTAAAAAACAAACAAAAAAAGTAAGTCAGTATCTTCTCACAACTGCAGCTGATTTCCTGTGTAAACGAAAACCATGTGATATTCCATAAATGCTTCCAGCTCTAAATTACAGGAAATGAAAACCATCATGGAAAAGGAAAACTCGAGAATCAATTCCCAGTTCAGATACCATTACAGCAACATTTCACTGGGAACCGCGAACGGCCTGGGTATACCTGTAGGTGATTAGAGCCACTGCTCCTGGTAGGCCCTGGTCACTGTCCCCAGTGCGCAGAAAACCCGGGTGGCGGCACGATCACACCCACTGCGCTTCGTCTGACAACTCGGCCTTTCAATTAGGAACCGAGCTGAGAAAAGTAGCCTTTTCTTTATGCACGCCTCGCCGAGGTCAGGTTATGACCTCTCTACCGTATTAAATCGGCGGTGGCATCCATATTCATGAAGGCTAATTAACTCTGAAAGGCCCGGAGGGGCTGGCCCTCACCTGGCGGCCGAGCGCCGCAGTCTGCCAGGCACAGGGGTGGGTGGGGACACGGAGCCCCTGGCCCCCTCGCCCCGCAGCGTCTTGCCGAGCGGCCCGGCCTCTGCAGCTGTTCCCGGGGGCCAAGCCTGCGTCAGCTCCTGTGCACAGGGACAGGGCGTCCCTGGGGCGCGGGGACCATCCGGGCGAAGAGAATTAGCCGCGTCATTTGTCGCCAGCCTAGCAACATGTGCTTACTTAGCCTGGCCTCTGCGCCCCAGGCCGAATGTGGGAAAGGGATGCTAATTCAAAACCGGCTTTTAGGCTGGGGTTTTGCTCTGTCTGCAACTGGGAGCCGGGGAACAGAGTTCTAGCCCCCAGCACCACTGATGGTGGGGTCCTGGGGAAGTCACTCCACCTCTTTGGGCTCTCTGTGTTTGCTCTGCTAGGACGTGAGGCTGTTGGACAAGGGAAATGGCCACGTCCTTTCCACTTACAGACACATCCATGGAGATGTCTCCAACCCACCTATTATCCCCAGCTTTGAATAATTTTTAGCTCCTGACAAGCCCTGAAGGTGCTGAGGCTCCCAGGAGGTGACAAAGTGTGGGGGAACATATTCTACTTCTTGGGTTTAGGTCCTTACATTTTACACTTCACAAAGGAATTTGAATTAGCTTAAGCAAACTAGAGCCAATGTGTTTTACAGACAGAAGGGTTGCTTTGAGGCAGTCAGCCTTTTTCTCATGTCTCTTCTCTATTCCTGCTGCTTTATTTTTGTTTTCAGACTGGCCCTCCTTTAGGCCTGTTTTTCCTTTCACATGAGATAGAAGGTAGGATACAAGAGGGTCCCCTCCCCTCCCATTTAACCATTTACATTTGCTCTGTTCAACAGTGGAGTTGGCCTAAAACTGCACTTCCAGGGTTGAACCATAAAATATTGGATTGGCCCAGTTTAGGTCACATGCTCAGCCCTGGTCCAATCAACTGAGGCCAGAGGGCCAGTCACATGATACTAGGCACCAGAGGCCTGCCCCTATGGGTGAGTAGGGAACTCAAAGGGTGAGCTGGCCAGGCAAGGCCAAGGGATTTCAGGTAGGTACTAAGTGTTTCTTTCAAAGCAACTCTTTGGGCTCCTGATCCTGAGCTGGCTTCATCTTATAATAAAGAGGAGGGAGCAGGAATTCCTATGTGGAGTTCAGAGTCACTAAGAATACATGGCTGATTTCCCTCAGCTTTTAGCAGGAAGCCACCATGGTCCCCACCATGACCAGAGCAGAGAAGCAGTGGAGAGCTGACTTTCTTCTCAGGGAAGCTTCTGTGACTTGGGCCTGAAGGACAGAATGGTCTCTCCCCTCCATTCTGCATTACAGGGCGAGTCTAAGATGAGCCCAATGCCTCCAATTCTGAGAGAAGCGGGACCTGTGTACAGATGTGACCATCAAATCTGCACTTTAGACCTCGCTGTGGCAGATCAAATAGGGAAGGGAAGCAGGGTTCTCGATCCTGGGAAATGAAATCTATTCGAGAAAATGAATTCATTGTGTACTCGTCAAGATGGACCTACCCTTTAACAATGGCAAAATCAAAGTGGTTTAAAACAGCAAGGGGTTAACTTCCTGTTCACATCCACTCGGTTGATTTAAGGGGCCAGGCTTCTTCCTTCTAATGGCTTCACCATCTTCTAGGGATCTGGTCCCACTGGGTCCTCTTACACCCTGCTAGGAGGTAAGAGCATGGAGGATTTCAGAGGGGTTTAAGGACCAGGCATAGAAGTCCATTACTTCTCCCTACCTGCTTTTTGTCAGAAATCAGTCATGTGGCCACACCTACGAGCCAGAAGGCTGGGAAGGGCACTCTAACTCTGTGTGCCTAAATATCAGAGAAAATATTTCTGATGACAAGGCTCTTGGGTGACATTAGGAAGCACACCTCAGAGTCACAGGCAGGTGAGAGCTGACATTGAGGCTCAACTTCCAGGAGTGCTGCCAAACCCCATCCCAGACCTTGATGAGGCAATTACAGTAGCCTGTGCCATTTGCAAGCACTAGACACTGGAAACCAGCTTTATGGCAAATGTTACCTCTGCTAGAGCTAATGATACATCCAGTCCCGGAACTTGACCTTGCGATGTTTGCAAGACAGCAACCAACTGCCACTTCTGAAAGCCACTGTTATCACCATCACCCAAAACATGCTGATGCTCCAGGATGACTCCTTTCCCTGCCCTGTGTTTTTCCTTTTGGTTTTATTCTGGTTCAGATATGAGGTGTCCCCTAAAAGCTCCTGTGTTGATGCAGGAATGCTCAAAGGTGAAATGATTAGATGGTAGAGTTGTGATCTAATCGGTAAACTGATCCATTTGATGGATTCATAATATCAGAAGACAAATGTACTGTGTGGTAACTGTGGGCAGATGGGGCATGACTGAAGGAGGTGAGTCACTGGGGACATACTCTGGAAGGCTCCTCCTCCCTCAGCCCCCTTCCCCAAGTCTCTGCTTCCTGGCTGCCATGAGGTGAGCAGCTTCCCTCTGCCACACCCTTCCACGGTGATGTTCTGCCTCACCTCGGGCCTACAGCAAGGAAATGGGCCCACCGTAGACAGAGACTTCTTGAAACCATGAGCCCAGAATATTTTTTTTCTCTCCTCTAATTGTTCTTGTTGGATATTTTGTCACAGCCATGAAAAACTGACTAACACAGGGTTATTTGCTTCCAAGTTCAAGTTTTGCACGGGAACATTTGAAGTGTGGGCTTAGCCGCAAGACCTCATTCTTCCTGCTCAGGAGGATGGGAATTTGAGTTCTGACTTTTATTCTGGGAAGGCAGGACTCACACTGTGAGCTTTTTCTGTAATGAGAAGATAGAAGACAGTCATAAAAAAAAAAAAAAAAGACAGCCATGAACAAGACAAATGTCCCCTTTTGCAAGTGATCAGGGAAGGACCCCCCCCCCCCGGCAACTTCAGCTCTGACAAGACTTAGATAAAATGATGTTGAGGATGAATTATATATTATGTTCAGACAAATTCCAAAAGTGAAATGGCCAAGGGGCAGAAACAGGTTCTTAGAGTTGGGAGGAAGTTAAAGTTTTTTGTTTAAAATCTCCAGCTTAATACCGAATCCCCTCTGCCAAAGCTGTCCTGCATTCAGGTTAGTCCCTCGAAACTATTCATGGGTTTAGATGACTCAGTACTGCTTTTCAAGGCAGGCTTTTGGATCACTTTTTGTTCTTCAAAGTTTCATTTCTTTCCTTTTTCTTTTTCTTTTTTTCTTTTTTTGTTAAGCACTCACCTGGCTTTCTCCTACCAGCAGCCTGAGTTCTTCTTCCCTGGGAATCCACATGGAACAAATCTGCCCTTCATGCATATGACATATTTTTTATGTCTCACCAGCCTGTCCTCTTTTTCTCCTTTTCTAGGATGAACATCCTTTTTACTCCATTTCTCAGGCAGAAGGGCAGAAGGATGTATTCTGTTAGTCCCCTTTCTGTTACTGTAACAAAATACCTGAGCTAATCAACTTTAGATCAGGAAAGGTTTCTTTTGGTTCATGTTTTCAGAGTTTCCAATCTGTGATAATTGGCTTTGTTTGTTAAGGCCTCTGGTGAGGCAGCATAATTACAGTGGGAACATGTGGTACAGCAACCTACTCATGGCAGTCAGAAAGCAAAGAGACAGGAAGAGGCCAGTGTCCCAATATTAATAATGTCAGAGGACAACTGTACTATGTGGTAACTGTGGGTAGGTGGGACATGACTGAAGGAGAGGTACCCCCAGGGTCCTAACTTCCTCTTTAAAGTTTTCACCACCTCTAATAGTGCTAAGCTGGGAACCAAGTCTTTAACATATGGGCCTTTGGGTGACTCAAAATTCATTCTATAGTATGTCCCAAATGGTAGTGCTGAAATTTCACTACTCTTCAAAAATGTCTCAGGTTTATAAATTCCAGCTTGACATATGGGAGAACTGAGACACCAAGCAGTCGAGGAAGTAGAAGAAATTGGGGTCTGGATCAAAGATGTGAAACCATGGACACTTCCAAGTTCATATAGATGCTGCTTCTACCGGGCCCAATCTTGAACCCACTCAGGGGACTCCCAGTCTGTGTGCTAGCTCCAGAGCCACACAATTCCCAAGCCCAAGGAGCTTTGGCCTGCTCGCTGTCACACTGGCATCTTTCAACTGTTGTTGCAAAACAGTAAGAGACACTGAAGTGGGATCATGGGAATAGGCCTCCTATGAGAGCTTCTAAGATGTTCCCCTGAGCGTGTGAGTGTCTTGACTTGGGGTGGGGGGGGACAACACTTGTTTACCCTGATTTTTTTGTTAAGGAAAAGGAAATTTATATTCTTTTTCTGAAACCACTACCTGTCATCTCACTGCACGCAGCCTAATGGGTCCCCACAAGGAAGGAAGGAGACAGTTAGGATCACTGGCGATCCTGCAGAGCCCGTCTGCAAACAGTGGCTGCAACAGCTGTCCGTCATGGCCAAGTTCAAATGTGGATACCCGGTCAGGCCTTTGGTTCAAACTATGCTTCATTCCAAAAGTCCCGGATCCTTCACTCTATGTATCTTACTCACTGTTTTCATGATTATAAAGGAGACGTATGGTTATTTTAAAATATCTGGAAAATATATTTATCCATTAAAAAAAATGCAAGTGACTAGGACTAACCACTGCTAACAATTTAGTGCCTCTCGTCTGGATTTTTACACACATATTTATGTATAAGAATGTGAATGTCATGCTGTGTATATCATTGTGCAGACTTTTTTCTCATTTAAAATTATGTTGGGAGCATTTTGCCATATGGATTCCTGGACAGTATGGCTGCAGAATGGATCCCATTGCTTCTTTCACATGCTCATTCCTCAGTCAGGGAATTTTGTGTGTGCCAGGCACTGCCATAGGCTTTGGGGTCATAATAGCAAACAAGACAGCATCTCAGCCCTTGTGGGTCTTGTAATCTGGTGGGAGAAGCAGAGGTGGGGCACGGTCATTACAAAGGGGACAAGTAAGAGAGAAAAGGATGGAGCCTTCTACCAGCAACAACAGGGACACAACACTGTGGGGTCAGTGGCCGACAGCGGGTGGCACAGCGTCACTGAGGAAGTCATGGCCAAGCACAGCTCTGGGGATTAAACGCAGAAAGTGGTCAGATTCCTGAGAGAGGAGGTAGAAACAACAG